CTAACCATTGACCAACCTGGTGTGAGAGACTCTGTGAGTGTCGCGGGACACTCTCCAGTATAGCTCAACGGATCGCTGAGGTGCGCAAACCATCACACCACGGTAAGGTCCAGTCTCTTCGTGATGGAAACTGGAGGAAACTGGAAGCCGCTTACTTGGAGCTCACCTGGTCACTAGTTTCTGATAGGATATGATTCACTGAATGTGTCAAACTGTACTAAACTGCTTAATTCACTGAACAACGAGATCAACTGGGCTTTCGGGAATCAAAACACGAACTAAGGCGGGTACGAGTTCCATTATTCAGTTTTGCTTACCACAGAGACCAAGGTTGACCCCGTGGCACTACGAACTTTAGCGTGAGCCTGTCTGTGGACAAGAGTATGAGCCGCGTCGTCACGGAACAATTTGTACCGAATAATCAGTCGTTTGACAAGATCCGCAGGCGACATGAACGCTCGATACGTGAAAAGAAAGGCCTCGGAAAACAGATAGTCTAAAAAAAGAAAAGCAGATAATGCATAAGGCAAGCAGCATACTCAATGTGTTAGAGAAAACGTAGGTGTAATGATAATTGTCTTCTTACATATTTAACAATACAGGATGTCTCCTAATGATACAATGACGGGAAGGAATTCGATCCTTCTATGAAGGTTGCAGTCAAATCGGAACTCATGCCCGGGTGACAATTTTCCTTAAGGAAAGTATATATAACATATTTCTTAAGAAATAAGCAAATGACATTCTGTACAATGGAACACAGACCTAAAAGCCATGTGGTGGGAAACAGTGAGCCGGACTAGGTTCGACTTCTCCGTATTTTCTTCACGATAAATCAAGAGTAGCTTTGGCCACTTGGAGAAGCTGACTGGAACTTGAGATACTCACAAACTCGCCGTAGGTACCCTAATTCAATTGATTTGCTCGATTTCCCATGCTTAATTCAAATGATCAGAGGTGGACTTATAAGTACGTATCGACAATGATAAACGGTAAAATAAGTTGGTTAGACATCGCTAAAGAAAAATGGAGAACGTTAGAAATTCAGTGGCCATAAATTAGCATAACATGAACAACATATTGGGTGCTCACTAGGTTCCATGACACTTGTATTATGCTGGGTCTGTAAATCAGTCAGTCAGTTTATCAGCTATCAGACGGCAGTTGTCGATCCGATGAAGCTTACTGGCTAATGTTTTCATACTTCGTTGGCAAGTCATACACTGTCTACCTCTCGATCAGCATAAGAGCGGGCAAAAATAGCTCTGCATGGCAGACGGTTCTATGTCCAGCGTTCCATAAGAAGCATACTTAACTCATCCATCGTGAGAGATTCCCACTGTTCTACAGCCATTTGGTGGATCTCAGCAGTGTAAATACGATGCTCCCATCAGACTCGACCAATAATTCGGAAATATACATAAGCAAGGCTTCTGTACGTCTCATGCGAATAGACGCCACATTTTCTATCCACAAAGCCTCCTGGATCACACCATCCCAGTATAAACACTGCCACTCATAGACGAAATGACCTCTCTCGTACTGCAGGTGTCAGAGGCTGACCAAAGTCGACATGGTCAACTTAATTCGAGAAGTAATCTCGTCTCCAGCCAGTCCACCGAAATTTATACGACTCCCCAGGTAAATAAATTTACTTTCCACGTCGATTGGCTGGCAAGTCTGAGTTTGGATTTGAGCCCACCCAAACTTGTGACACAACTTTACACTTTGCAGGTACGAAGCGAGTGTCAAACTGAGCGGCGGAGACATCCAGGTTATCAAAAATGGCCTGTATTTTTGAAGGATCCCAATCAAGAACGGCATCGTTCACACATTCACTGTCCGTGAGCGAGCGCCTCGCGAACATTTCTATCCCCGATGTCTTCTGTGCAGGAAGAGAAATTTCAAACAACATATTAGGGAGAAAGTTGAAGAGGGATGGTCAGAGAGGGCGACCTTGCCTTATCCCACTGGACGTGGTGAAGGCGGGAAAATGTTTGTTTTGTAACTGAACGCGTCCAGTTTTCAAACAGCATCTTTATAAGAGATAAATTTCAATGGGACATCCTTGATCGCCAGACATCGCTGGAGTTCGTGATGATCGACAGTCAAGAAAAAATTGTGGGACGTTTGAGAGAATGGTGCCGTTCAAGAATCTGTCTAAGGCTACAGAAATGTTCGATGCATCCTTGGCTAGGGTTGAACTCAGGGTGATTCCTACGAGTTTGTTTCTCCAGATAATCGATCAATCTGCGCAAAAGAATACCAGGAAGTACTTTGGATGCCATAGCTACTCGGCTGATGTAGTGACGTACGCACGACGTTCTTGAGCCATTTTGAAGGCTGGTATCACTATCGAGGCACCCGATTCCATGTGTATTCTTTTTAAACCCCACATCTTCCGCGTAAGGTAGTCAGACTGTACACCAGGGCGTCATCACACTCTTTGAAAAAATGCGAGGTGCAGACTACCCGGACCGAGTGCAAGGGAAAAGCAAGTTTTCAGACAAAGCGCAAAATTTGACTGAGGATGGACCAACGTGGAGTAGATCATTGGAGGTTAGTATGAGATTATTTTGGTTTATTTTGCCGGGCGACAGTCTATACGAAGCAATTTTTAAGCGATTGGAAGATGAGGTGACCGCAGTGCAACATTAGACGGATGGGGAGCGGTGTGTGGAGTCCAGTGAACGCGAGCTGCAAAGATGAATGGCACTTCCCAGTTGTCTAAGCCAACGAAGAGGGCTTAGTTGATGTAGCCCACTTTGAGGCTTTGACTGAAGTTTGACCCACAGGGCAGTAAGTAAATATACGATTTTGTCTGGGGCTCTTCTCCTAGCCTCTGATTTAAAAGTGTGAACGATGAGACAGCGGTAATTGGGAGTTTCTTGAGGGACTCTTGAGGGACTCTTCCGGAAGCCGATGAAAATAATTTTCTACCCAATTCGCTGCAAGGGACTGGCCCGGCTCGACGGCACAAGGAGTAAAGCATGACTGTCTGACTCTTAATACGGCCACATACAGCAGGAAGCTTCTGAGCAACACCAGACACCATTGTTTTAAAAGTACTGAGTAATCTGTCGGCGTCACAGGCAGTTGCAGGGTGATCGGACTGTGTGGTTTTTAGGGTCGATCTTTTCTAATTCGCTGTTCCTCGAAGAAAGGAAGCACCACTGCCAACTTAAATATGAACATGGTTGTGGCCTGACGAAAACGCCTCACCGCTTTCACACTCCTATAACGGAAGACAGTACTTCTTCACGTAGAGTGCCTCTAATACGATCTCTCGCGGTACGGGGATTCGCAATCTATGTGGGGCTGCCCCAGTTGGGTAGCTGAGTTTCAGCTAGTGTAGCTCACAAGGTTACTGCATCACTGAAGCCTTACAACTACGGCCTTACGGTAAGAACTTGAGGTCGGGTGGGGGAGAGCTGCGAGTACGTCATGACTTCCCCATACAACCAGTTATCCTACTTAGCTTGCACACAAGAGAAAGATGATATAATGTAGGTTCGAAGGATTAAGAACACATTCCCAGATTGGGCAGTCGGACCGCATTGAACCACTAGTGATGTTCTTCCGCGAGGCATATCTGCCATCTGACCGCCTGCAGCATCCTTTTAGTCATTTTGTCAATTTCATGGGTCGTCTTTGTGGAGGAGATAGTGTGTGCTAGGTATACATAGGTCCTTCGTCAAAATTAGATAAAGGACAAAACAGTGTCAACCTACCTGGATTCAACTTTTTATCGGAATAGCGCCACCCATTCCACTAGGTATGTGAAGTAGGGAGCCACATCTAGCCCACCTATTCATAGGTCCAAATAATAGTAGCACGTTACCGATTGACATCTTGCTGGCAAGGTTTGCGTGTCCACACCACGCGGGATGCGAACTTATCGATGTAATTCCGCAACCCGGGGCCTGGCGATTCGCTGTGTTGTGAGGTCTAGATGAGCATTTCTAATCTGCCCGTTGTGTTTCTTAGACGAGCTATGAGTTGCTTACATCGGTTTCCGGGCTCTGTAATCCAATTTCGACACTTTTTAACCTTACAAATTCATATATCTTGACGAAGCCCACAATCGGTGATGGGAACGAGTACGATATGATGGCTACTGACACTAAAATCAGTTGGGCTACACAAAGCTTCCCTCAAATAAGTTACACAATCGGAATGGATAACAAGAAGAGCGGAAATAAATTTTTTCGACAGCATACCTACCAGTCGAATAAAACGGTAAGCTCGAGGATGATTAGGCATGTAGGGGATTTTCGCCCCGTGGTTAGGAGAGATGTAAAAGACTTTATCAGTTTTGGGACTAGAGGAACTACATACTCGCAGCAAACCCTGAAAATCTCAACTATCCGAAAGTGGAATATGCATAATGCGACGATTTTGGTCCTGATAATATAATCTTCAGCTGAAGTAACCTTGATTTGCACCAGTAATTACATCTCAACAAAACATTCACCTATAACTAGTCACAAGTAAACGTAGCTTCAGGACACGCATCCAGTTCAGAAAGAACTTCGGTTAACCATGGAACGTCTCCGATAAAAAACTTCCCACATTTGGTGTGTTCGCTAGCAGAAAGTATGAGTGGACAACAAGCTGGGAAAACCAAGCCGGCCTCAAAAATAATACACTGGTGCTAAAATTAGACGATAAGGAATCGACCATTTATGGAACGATTTCGACATACTAGCCTGTTCTAGACTTCAAACTACGAATGCTATTCAGCCAGAAACTGTACATGAAAGTGAAATGAAAAAAAAACTATCCAAGCTACAGTTAGTCCACCGCTAACAAAGAATGGATAGGAGAAACATCACAGTTTCACCAATCACGAGCAATCAATATCACTACTATGCGATAGCACCCGTAGCCCCAAAAGACAGAATCTAGAGTTTTTCAGTCGAAGACAAGCCTTATGATAATTGTTTGTCAAGTAACAGTAAGAAGCAACCACAATCATTACGGACAAAGAAGAAAGGTTCAGCTCACGTGTACGGTGACCGGGTGAACGCCTTTGTGTGTGCTCGTGCAAGTAAAAGTTGACTTGGTGTTCAAGAAAGCGGAAACTCACATGATGGCGACATACTTCCAAACGAGGTCAAATAAACAATAAGTGCATCAATAGAGCCGGCATGCACAGATACTTCCTTGTGCTGAATGTGAAAGAAAGGTGTGCAGAAAGAGATAGAATGTAATAGTTATTCTGTGTAGGACAAAAGTTGGTAAGTAAATCGATAGCGTACCCTGAAGACAGCCAGAGAAAAACGATTCAGGAAAATGCATTTGCCAATGGCGTGGAGGAAAAACTTAATATGACCGATAAGAAAATAACGACCAGGAGTGGATTCAGGAAGACTCCCTCATGAGAACAATGTACAGGCCGCGCGCTAGACTGACTGTTGTGCGGGAAAGAACTATCTTCGTAGCTGGACCATAATCGCTCACCAAGCCAATAAGTTCGCTTGTGATCTGTATTCATTACATGCGGGCAGTTGTATTCGCAGTATCAAATATCATTTAGAGCATATCGTGGTTAGCTCAGTGTAGGGCTAGAAACCCTTCAACAGCGTTCACTGACGAAACCGGTCAAAAAAGGCCTCTATAGAGACGCACACAAAGGGCATTTGTCAGACAAGTAAGTCACCGAGTCTTGCGGGTCCAGTGTACCAAGCCAGAGTATGAGCGGGAAATTTAGATTCCTCGGGTTGTTGTCTCTCAAAAAAATATCTCAAAATAAAATTCGCCACACGATAATCGTAGGTCTGGCGGTTAGTTAGACAGACTTTATTCCACTTCTAGAATATATCACTGTCCACAGAGTTTATGGGCGTTTTGCCTCCTTCGGAATAGCGAAGAAGGCAGATAAAAGATGACACAAAACTGAGGGACACGTTTTCGTACTATGCATCAACAGTATCCAACTGTAGCAATGTTATTACGTGTACAGTCGAACGTCACGAGGCGAATTTTCGGTTGAATAACAGGAGAGAATCAGTGGAAGTAAACTTTCACAACAGTTTGATACAAATCACACTTCGTCTCCCTCTCAGTGCGGAGTGGTCAGGTCCTATGGGGTAGAAAAGCCGCGTGGCGATTGTCTTATCACGGTCGAGGTTTCGCTGTGATTTCCTACAACCAATACCTACTTAAATTGCTTGGCAGTTATGCAGTATTCTTGTGCACTCCTACACAAATACACCTTGACGATATAGTAACATTGATAGAACATCGCTGTAAACATGGAAAAGCTCGAATATGCCAGCTTTGTTTTCTTTAGAAAGATCTCATCCAACTTAGAGTTGCGGCGTATGTCATAGAGACACAACCTTGATGTACCATAAGTTTGACCGCTAAAACAAGTGCACGAAAGCATGTGCTATAGGGAATCCATGGCAGGCTTCATAATCGAGTAAAAACGGTTTTTCCCAACCGCGAAACTCCTGAACGTTCACGCACCTTCATTGGGAGTAAAGTAATCAGGTCCAATATGTCTAGCTGAGGGGAGCTCGAAAAACCTAATTGCTGACAAGTAACTTAACGCATACGCGGTCAAAGCCATTTACGTACTTAGAGACGTGTCAGACTAAATGAGCCACCCAAATGAGACTTAATCCAGGCTTCCGTGCAATTATCCGGACTCATCATCTCTAAGCCGTTGGCATCATCCTAATCTTGGCAGCCGGCATTCGGAGTGAGCCCGATAATTAAGGAGACTGGACTGCAAAAAAAGAAAGAGTCACGAAGCACACCAAGTAGCATTCAACTTTTGATTTCCCGACTCACTTTTACCCTATTCCCATCTGACCGAACGCTCATGAAAACCTACTGGGGGGAAACCTGGCACGCGATCCCAACATTAATTCTGAAAAATGAAATTACCATAAAAAATTTTACCACCCGATAGATCACAGAAATGCAAATGATCATCGGAAATCCATTTGGAAGGCAACATAGGTAGGTTGCTCAGCCGGGAAATCGGTATTCACAAGGTAAACGCAACGGAACAATTCCAAAATGCGAGTAAAACGCACTCAACTAGGAGGCGTGAAATTTTACAGTTGTACACTGCGTATAAAATTCTTTAAGGAGGGATGCAGATACTCACAGATTCCGAATCGGTCCAGACCAAATATTCGTCTGCCTTTATCAGACCGAGAATTTCGCGACAAATGGGAAATTCAGTTGGGGTGCTTTCGACCCTGAAACCACACAAGGAAATAAGGCTAATGATGGGACGTGTTGCATCACTGATAAGGAATACATGAGTGTGAAACCAACAGAAAAATTGAAACTCATCAACGAACACGTTTTAGGAATAAACATAGATTAGAGATACGATCGGATGGAAGCAAAAAGAGTCATTAATTTCGTTTGGTACATGTCGCCACATCAGTTACAAGCCACCTTATTCACTCTGAGATTCGGAGTGTACAAGCATAGTAAGAACGAATTTGAAAGAACACACTGGCCTGCTTAGCCGTGATAAGTACGGGTCCGTGCAGCGTGAGCTGATGGCAACACGCTTGCCTCCCAAGCGAGCTGTTCGGAGATAAGATCCCTGTAGGAACAAGGACGTGCAATGCTGAATATCTCCGATAAAGGCGAAACTCGAGTCCAGTGCTTCCACTTAGAAAGGACTAGGTAGAACATTCACAACAAAAGGGAGGAATATATAAACCAGGGCAGAGGGAGTACAAATACTATGAATCCCGCAGCTCCAACTGCTCAATAGACTATGTTGAACACGACGACAATAAGGTGTATAGGGAAGCATTTTTACTCCACAATTGCGTGCTGCAAAACAATCACAAAGTTGTGCGTCGTCCAGCAGTCAACGGCATGAATTAGTGCATGTTCTACCGTGTCTATCGGACTGAAAAATCGACGAAGATATCTGATCGATACTAATTCTGAAGATTTTACCCAACGTTCACACCATTCGCTGTGAACAGTTGGGTTCACTTCGTCAGCTGAGGAAAGCGTATCTATAGCAAGATGAGCGAAGTGATACCGCGCACATCTAAGGCCGACTATACAAATGTTTACCACACCATTCTGCTGGTTAACCCAGCTTTTAGCGAGCCCAGCCCACTAACAAGGGAGCAAAATATCCATGCCGGTGAGGTGATGATTGACACTATTTTGGGCGCTCCCTGGTTGTCGGCCATGTCGGCAGCGACCTCGCAATCTTTTCCTATAGTCCATTGACTTGACTTGCGACATCTACCCAAATGACCAGACAAGGTGAAACAACTCTACTGTCACGAAACGAAAGCTACGATTGGGAACTTGATGCGGACAAGGTAGGTATTTAGATCTCTTGAGATATTAGGGTCTTGTTGGATACGTTGGTTGCTATAGACCGTTGGCGGGTACAGAGCATGCTGACCCCAATCCGATGGAGTGCGATTTGCCTAGTTTTTACGATCAGCTTCTTGCTGCTGTCGCCCGTTTTGGAGATATTTGGGATCGGCATCAGGCCAGTATTACGGCTGGGCCACGGGATGCTTTGATGTTAGGAGGTACGGATGTGCCTCCAAGATGGTTTTCTTTGGAGTGACGAAATATTTGTCGAAATATTTGCCGCAGTCCGTTGTACGATCTCGTGAGATGCTTTTCCATGCAATTGCTTGGAGGAGTAATTAAACGGAAGGGTAGCCGTTACAAATACTCACCCAAAGATACTTGGCTATACTCACTCACACATCGGCACCTTTCCTAATCCGGGATACCGATTCCACAATTTATGGATACCAGTCTGAGTGCGGATATCCCACCTATGCAGGCGCGTATCCGGACGTATCGCACTGCTTTCGAATTACGAGTGATTCATATGGTTCCAGTGCAGTAAGCTAAAGCCAATTTAGAGCATGCTGTTGTGTATCAGCAGCAGGGCGAAGATATCCTCGTGTCACTAAATGCGTACTTTGCAACCTGGCAGGGTGGCGCGGCGGATACAGATGCCATGATGGCGCGGATAGCTGATTATGTGGTGGCAATTTGGAATTGCTTGGTGGAGTAATCAATCGGAAGGGTAACCGTTACATAGCAACGGTATGTAGAGTTAATCGGCGTGGAGCTTCTGTGCTTTTCCGTTAAATCCGAACATCGGAACTCCTCGTCAGTGGTTCACGTCCTAAGCACTGGGCTATTTCGAGTGAATGAGAAATATATGCAAAAGCCACTAAACAGTATTTCCAGCTTTACTCAGGAAGTGATACAGAGGTGCAATCAGAGCGAAAGGATCAAGAGTGATTTTTAAACTGGTAGTGGTAGTTTGTCCAGAGGATGTATGGTTTCTCCAGCATCACGTACTCTCGAAGAAGCGATTGGAGGGACCAGCCGGTTAACGGTGATTAGTTTGGAGGAATCGTGAGTGAGATCAAGCGCTCATAAATACAAACTTGTGAGAAATCTGAGATTTCAGTAGAATTATTGTATACACAAAATGAAAGGTTGAGATAATTTGATTGTTTTCGACTCTTTATCTCCTCTGTGGTACAACGAGTGACCTCTACAGCAGTCTTGGACGCTTCCTGAACAAACTGCTATCCTGGTGAACGGGACGCATAGTTTTACATAGGGATCTTTGGGCCTGATAAATAATAACCATGATTGATCCGCGATGTAAGAAACAGTTTGCTCCAGAGCTAGTGATTAACGGGAGAGTACATAAGATACATCCAAAACCTTACACTTTCGGGGTCTTCTGGAGTGAGCTGAATGATTCTGAAATCTGGACTGGTTCGGGCAAATCTTCAGAACGCGCAACCTCCATTTGATCTCCAGTATCATCTGGCTGAAGGACTTTACTGTCATCCTCTGTCTCACTTGCGACACCAGCGGAAGCACCCTAAAATGAAGGTGTGGCGCATTCGGATAAGCTTGTAAATTGACTAGGAAAACACGGGAAAGGTGCAAAAAGGCAGACAAAAACATTATCATTTAAGCTTCAATTGCGCGAGAGTTTGAGGGAGAATGCAACTATGGTCTGAGTGTTCAAGATTACGCAAGTGTCAAGGAAAGACTCATTGTACAAGTCAGTTCCCATTCTCAAACTATCTTCATCTAATTAAAGCTTTGTCTGGCAAGTGGAACCAAGATGCACCATGCAACTGTCTCGTCCTTGCTGAAAATCGCCAGGAGTTCATATATCACGTATTACTAGAGATCTGTACGTGCCACCAGCGGGCCTTTAGTTGAACACTATGGTGTTCAGCTTCGAACACATCATCAGCAGTCATAGTCATTAATTTAGATACTACATAGCACCACTAACCTCCAATCACACACTCCAAGCCCGTAATCCTATGCTAAGTAGCTCCTTAAGTGGCGATTCCCACAGGTTGCCTGTTGTTTTTAGGCTGCGCAAAGACACTGAAATTGCAGTCGGTGTTTTATCCTTCAAGTAGAAACATTTCATGCCCACTAGACCAGCAAATACCTCAGTTCCTCAGTTTGTTAAGAACTGCATGACAACACATCCACCGGACAAGAAATGATGAGGTAGGCTTGGCATCATATTAACACTAAAGAAGAGGGCTTAAAGAGATACTGCTCTGGACTCGCTCAGCAACCGAATGACCTTGAAGCATCTGCGATTCAAAATATTCTCAAAGTCTATTGGTTTCGAGTAAACGGCATAGTTGTACGGCACACAGACTAGGAAGAGAAGCGCGTTCAGATGAATGAGAGGTGAGCTATACCACCAATTTGACGCTGCTCTAAGACAGAGAGTACATCACCAAGAGATGTACTAACGTTTGCTCAATGATCAGAAATCTATAGTCCATTGTCTCTCAGAAACAGAAGTCTATGAAGTACAACTGATCAGAAAAAGGAAAGTGATGAATTTATACCACCTTCACTTCGAAAAGAACATTGTACTGACTAAAAATCTAACCGCAGACATAGGTACATTGTCGAGGTAGTACCCTACCCCCAGAGTTCAAGGGTGGGTAGATAGACTAAGCCCGATGGCGTCGCGCTTTGACAAGTGTATATCCGTCCTAAGCGCCTAAAACATGTTTACTATGAATAAGGGTTTGCATCATTGTCGCACCGGGTCCCTTTTCGAATTCGTATTTTCGCTGTTCTGAAAACCGCTCGCAACCGGTATTAAAACTGATTGCCACCAAAGTAGCTATTCAGGAACGAAGGAGATCCTGAAGTGGAATACACCGAAGAGTTTGCAATTTTTCGCTGTTTGATGTCTTCATTATGGCAGCCCGATTGAAAAACTCTAGGCAAAAGAAACATTACGTTTAATTGTAGTAGACCATAAAGCTCATGTGTGGAAATGAGCGCTCTCAACCATCATACCACCAATTAAAGAGGTCATACGGAAGAAGCCCCGTGATCAGACGATTTTTGTTCGAGATGGAGAACCAAAAATTTCTACGTGCTGACATCTTAAAAAACAATGGGTGCTGCTGACGATGAACAACTTCATAGGCTCCGCCAGGGGATCAAGAATGATGACGGCTCCTGAATTCATTCTAGGACGGAGCGATGCAGTAGTACGGCGGTATTGGGTTAGTCGATGAGCACTTTCTTTACCGGTCCCGAATTCGCCGTATTCTGAGACCACTGTGGTCTTCGATTTGGACTAAAACACTTAGAATACAGGTGATCGATTGTTCATATCACCGTGATACTGTGATATCGCAGCTACAGTACGGGCTGTTTTGTTGTATGGCTGTGAGACTTGGCCTGTTCGAGCAGCGGACCTGAGACTTCTTCAGGTGTTCGACAATCGTTGTCTCAGAACCATAGCTCGTGTGGGTTGGTGTCGCCGAATCCGTAACGAGGCAGTTAGAAAGCGTGTTTTCGGTTGTGTAACGGGTACTTCCATTGAAGAATTTGTCCAGCACCTGAAGCTGCGTTGGTTGGGACATGTGTTACGTATGCCGCACCATCGTTTGCCGAAGAGAGTACAGTTTCCCATGCCCAATTCGGAGTGGCGTAAAAAGAGAGGTGGCCAACCCTTGACTTGGAAGAGGAGTATGAAGGAGATCACAAAACGCTTGGGTGCTGTCGGTGCTACTCGCCTTCCAGGATGGGGACCGCGTGATCCTCACTGTGCCTAGTTAGAGACTGCAAGATATGACTGCAAATCGATGCCAGTGGCGTCCTTGTTAGTTTCTTTCCAGATTGCCCGAGTGGGTGTCTGGAGGTGTATGCAACGCGCAGTGAATGTAGGAAGGTAGCACTGTGTCCCTTTCCTACCAACTTTCATTCTTTTCCCAATGAGGTTTTCACATAAATCATGGTTGTACGGAATCGAGGCAGCAGTGTTGAACACTTGTCACGTTGTCAATGATGATGATGGCGGTGGATTCCCCTTTCCGATTGTTTTTCTCATCCTATGAGTATGGCGAATTGGATCGTACGTCGTTCAGGCACCAGTGTTCTCTTACTAGTGTTGCTGTCTGTACTGATGAGAAGAGTCATTAGTCTGTCACTGCTATCCTACTAAGTTGCGTACTTGTTACTTTCCAGTTGCCAGGTGTGGAAGTTGGTGGGATCCAATGCCAAAGAAAGACCAGGACATTACTAAGGGGGGAATCCCTTCGGCCGATGTCGCTCTGAAAGACATAGTGACAGACCCACACAAACTGGTGACCCATGGGAAAGATAAAAAAGGATTTTGGCCACGTCAGATTTTTCGTCGGAAGAAGAATGTTCCCCTCGTATGTTCTCGTTTCGTTTTACATTCGTGCTGCGTTTACACGAACTGCACTTGTTCTCTTCAACACATTGCACACTTTCCTGCTGGTTCACACGTTACATTTAGCATCATAGTATAACACTGTCAAGCATGGTGATTAGTTTTTTGTGGGTAAATTCTTGGCCAGATAAGTATATTCTACTCATTCCTGGACAGAAACCGGTTTTCATTTACTTTTCAGTTTTTCGAAAAATATATGCAGTATCTTCCTGCATACCACGTCATCTGACGCCAGAATCTATTATGGTTGGAGTGTTATAGCCTTGTTAACTTCACTCACTGAAAATCGTAGTTTCGGAATAGTTGCGGCAAGAACCTAGACTGAACAAGTCGAGATGCCGAGGTTGTGTTCGAACCACGGATCTTCCGGTCAATAGCCGGAGCCACTTAACTCTCTTGGGCTCCATGTGTTGTCCAGGTGGTCGTCAAATGTTCTCCCCGTACTTTGTCTTCAAATTCTCAATTACTTGCCCCTCAGCGGCTGCAGCTCAGCCGTCGTATGCTTAGGGAGGAAGGACAGTTTTGTCAATAATGCTGTACACTATGACAGTCGACAACAAAATTTTCTTCCATCCCCAAGGGCTAGCCCGTCAATCGAGCATTGGAAGTCTTCCATTTTTGAGATTCAGGTCTACGTTTACTTTTAGGACGTCGTTATGGCTGTAACTTTCGCACCATAGTTTCATTTACCCACGTTTCGATACAGTCAACTTATTTCATCATGATTAAGTGTATCTCTGTTGTACCCTCTAAAATCCTAACTTTTAGCTGGACACGAATAGTCCTTTTTCGACTTCCCTCTGATCGATTTGCTTTCTTTTGCGCCAGTAGTTCGACGTGTTTACATCACTTCCAAAATGCAAGTTCAGGTCGTTTGTGGATGAGCTCGTTGTTGTTTTTGTCCGGGCTCGAAATTAAATCACTAAGTTCGTTGTTTACTCGCCTTCATCTCAGTGTTCTCAAAACTTGGGAGGAGTTAATCCTAAAAGTCCTGAAAATAGTGCCGGATCTCTTACTTCCAACAGAGTCAAGAAGAAATGTCACTCCTGAGAGAGTCCACTGAGGGCATCTCCTCCTGGATTCTGATGAGGCCCTCTGAATAGGCCGTTCCAAACCTGTAGGGAATTCGCGAGTTCGTGGAGGGTGACTTTACTTCTTAAGTAAGGCAAGTATTCTGATAATACTTGTGCAAACTAGAAAAGACGCATAACTCTGGACGACTTGGGTTATGAAGTTGTTCAAAACCTGGTTTACTTGAATAAGCGGTCTTCTCAGATTAGAAATTACAAAGATATTGTTTCTGCGTGACAATATTTGAATTTGGCCATCCCAATACCCGTTCTTTCGGTGGCTTGTTCGTCTTTCACGTATCAGTTTTGGTGTGTGGAGTATCTACCTCTGCTGGATAGAGGATTCAAGTTAGGTCTGGATAAATTTTCGGTGCGCGTATAGTTTGCGACTAGACAATCAAAGTCTTAGTGGTGTGCTTTTCCACGGATGCTGCGTGAAACACTTGTTTCAGCGCATGGTATCGTAATTGTGATCTTGGAACTATTTAAACCTACGATAGAGGCATGCTCTAAATTTGCGGCTAATCATGAAGGATTTCGCCGGCTTCAGTCACCAGAACATGCTATTTCCGGATTAGGACATCGATTTTAGTAAAACAGATTTCGAGTTGAATAAAGTCTGAAACGTTGTTTTGGAGATGTATACTGAACAAGTAAAATCTACAAAACTGTGGACAAAAGCTTCTCAGCTCATTGAATAACTGATAAGTTCAATTCCAAGTAACATCCATAATTTCAGTTGAAGGTCGGGGAGATTCAGTGTGAGTTGAACTGGGTTAATTTGAAGAAACCAGCTCATTTAAAGAAGACGGGCTAGTTTGTCGAACAAACGGTTCTGCTAGTTACCGCAATTTTTCATCTTCCATGTTTGGGTACACTGGTGTTGGATGAAATACACAACGCCTGATGTGAGTCCACTCCCCATATGCCAAAACGGTCCATTCCCTGTGATGGCTGCTCTTTGAGTAGACTGTTGTGGTGGCCCCAACAGCGTGTCCGTTAGCTGAACGGTAGGTGTCCTTTTGGTTGGATTCCTATGAAAACCACTCTGTGCTATCTCCTTAGCATCCTTGAGAGATTGACCTTTCCCCATCCATTTTTCTGAAAGTACGATTGTTCCAATTTATGGATTTGATCTTCATGTGCTCTTTTCTTTCTATTCTAAGTAAAATACCAAAGAGATTAGCCCCGTACTTTCGTTTTTCTTCCCTGCCCAAACAGCCTTCCATCGATATCCCGAAGATACAGGCTAATTTGATCACTGATCTGTCGGCCTTAGCCTCACAGCTGGTCGTCACCGTTACCGTTTCCGACCACACCAAGTGGGTTAATCGGATGACCGAATGCCTCAGCCTCGTTCGTCGTCACGTAGCCTCTGGCGCAGCTTGTATTCAACCGTTTCTCCTCACTGCAGGGAGTGCATCGGTTTCCACGAACTAGTAAGTTGCTCCATCCCAAACCTACCCAATTTCGTTTTCGTATATCCTCAGTGTTTGTGTTTTGGGCTTCCCGACGTTAATTACGATACCAGTAAACGTGTGTTCCACCTTGGTTTTAGCCGACCTGCAATGGAAAAGCTATCTGATTTTCACGATGCCTACGTGGCTTTCCTTGACTGGATCAACTCAGTCTCTTCTGTGGACAATCTGGCGCGAGTAACACCTGGATCCAACCTCATTGATGGTAGCACACGTTGCCGCGGACAGGCGTTGTTCAATACATTGCAGTTCTCAACCCTTGTACGTCAGTGTTTTATTATGGTTTGTCTAGTTTCTGAGGCTCAATCTCATCTTACATTAATTACCTTCTATGGGCTTACAGCATCACGAGCATCTTAAGCTTTGACTAATAACCGATCTTCCAATGATGGTTCATTTTAACCTTTGCTGAGAAGGCTGCTCATCCTTTATTGTGTTTTGTCGGCAGTCAGTATAATTCGTGGTTCCAATGAGGTCACCATAGAAGGTGTGTTTAGGGGCAAGATGGTGCGAAGATTCTCCACGGAGAAACCCCCTTCAGTCCAAATTTTTCCAGTATTGAATCGCCCTTAGCCACCACACTTCGCTCGAGGTGATTGGCCGGAAATGGACTCATACCATGAATTTATTTAGTAACCCAAGTTCCCAAAAAGATCCGGTATTATCTCTGGCCAGACAGAATTGTCAACAAATTGATTCTTTCAATTTCCGTCCCGTGTTCATCTCCGTACACTCCACATTAGTGGAATAAGTCTACGTCCTATGCTATGTGTCATTCCTGATCGTCGAACCGATCCGCATATGCCTGACTTTTTTTGGTCTTGGTTGGTCGTTTGTCTCTACTGTCCGATCGGGCTTTGGTTTTTGTTCCTCCTTGTCACCACCATCCATAGTTCGAGCATGATCTGCTGAGCTGGAGTGGCGGCGAATCAAAATAGGTTACGGACAGTAGTGAGCGGATTACGGCCGCTTCCAGGACTCCTCTGGAAACAGCTCTGCTTGCGAGCGGACGTTCCCAATTCTCTTCTTCCGGTACCCTTGGCTCATGAGTGCTTTCGTCTACTCATAGAGTGGTCCTCCCTGCTTTCCGAAGCCCTTGCATTAACATAGCTTAGTCCATACGTTTGAATGGTTTGCTGAAGTCCACATGCACAATGTGACCTGTTTGACGGTAGTCCCTGGTATCACAACACGCTTTGCGTACCATAACAATTTTGTGATGCGAGGCCGTCCATTATGATATGATATGATATCACCGTTCGAACCCATACATTACCAACACAACTGTTACGTGGAAAAGACTGGATTACGAGCTATGAACGTCCACCTTCAACGCAGTTAATGCGTTGAACTAACTCGGTGATAGACATCTACTGTCCCTATGCTCTTACTGAACAGTAACTGATATCACCATAGTACCCCAACAGCAAAATCATGGGCAAACAATGAGAACTTCCTCAAACTATTCAAGCAAAATGAACAAACCGAGAATTGGATCAAAATAATTTTGCTGTCTTGACACCAAGTCAAGACAGGAGTAACATAAGAAGAGAAAGGCCGCCTCCTTCCGTACCATAAACCGTGAGGAACGCAACCAGTTTGCACCTCCGTTAGAAGAATAAAACTAGACGAGGATACAGAAAAGAGATATTCGAAAATATCTACGGTGACTTACGTCTCTGAGGGCTTCTAAACCACCAACCTGAAGAGTACAAATTGAAAATAAACGCATAAAGTGCTAAAACCGCAGTGCAGTGATTCTTAAAAGCCAGTATATAAGGGAAAAGAAATCATGTGCAGTTTACAGTGGCAAGCATGGACTGCGTGAAAAAGTGGGCTTGGGATTCGGTTGAAAAATAAATTAGCTTTACTACACTGTTGTATGAATGAAAGTGTTTCCATTGTCTACGTGTCCGTTTAAAGTTGACTGGTCCCATTAAGTGTTGAAAAATAGACCCATATAATTGGAAAGCCGTTCTAAACCATAAAATAGAATACACTGATGTCTGGTAGTTCGCGGCAAGCTAGAAACATCATTTAAAGAGTTAACAACACCTACGCTTAGAGGCAAGGTAACAAACTTCACCTTGAAGAAAATTCAAAGACAATCCAGTGCACATCGCCCGATGTTCAGAACCTAGTGGACGCACTCAAAGGTAGTTCGGCGTTAATGAACAAGCAGATTGGGTCTGTTTGAGTTGTTAAGAGGACAGAGTTCTAGTTCAGATAAGTATGTGTAAAGGAACCCTCTAGTGATTATTCTCATTTGGGCCAAACTAATGATAGGTATGGAGTGCTACCTGAGCACGCATTTGTACGTTGCAGCCGAGTTTGCCCCATGAAATTAAGACGATTCTGTTAACAGGAAGCCTACAAAACACAGAAGAATTGATGTCAATTGGGTAATCACCATTTCGGAGGCTGACGCTTTGGTGTTGTTTAACTATGTCAATTGGTTTCAAAGAAATCGTGTTCTAGCGAAAGACGATGTGGGGGGAGGACGGAACAGTAGCACTCTGGCGCCATGGCAGCAAAACTTGTTCAAGTAAACTGGACGGAAATTGAGGACACGAATGCCGTTGGCATTCCAAGCTAATGTTTCAAGCTAATCACACTGATGGGGTCGTAGACCCATATCCTAGACGGCAAGGCGCAGAAGAGACAACTAGTCATGCCGTGAAAGTTCGTATCTGCGACAAAGATATTCCTTTACAGTGCGATATAGAAGAAACCGATTTGGAATTTTCGCAAGACTCCTCAAAGCGGCCCACCTACCAGGACACTACATAGCCTGCAAATGGCGGTGATATCACCAAAAAATTTCAAATATTATGGTCACCCACAGGGAACTACGTCTGATGAAACCGAGGAATGTAAGACTGAAAAATAAGGTAAAGGGTTTCAGCGAATGAAGCTTTTACATAAACAGAACACGTAATGAAACCTCTCAAGAGCAACCGTTAGCGGAACCATTCGAAATCCATGGCCCAAGGGTTGGAGGACATCGTAAACAGACAAGCCTCTGTAGATGTTTATCTACCTCGATGTGGAACTTGGGTCCACTGTTTAATTTTAAAAGAGCGACAGTAAGCAGTTAGGCACAGAACAGTCTGTTTCAGCTTGTATAACGACAAACCCCGGAAACTAGTTCTAAAAGGATCGTGAGAGGAAGTTGACAGGACCTAGTGAAGGCGGGCGCTCCAGCGGGTGGTGAGGGGGGCGCCGTCAGGAGTGTACGGGACAGAGGCAATGCCATGATGCGGGTAATAGGCGCTTCCCCACCAGAACATTTTTACAAGAATATAAAAATCTGATGTTCACTAGAGTGATGAGCACTAAACGCAAGGAAATAACCACTTACTAGTCGAACACTACACGTGTGCTGAACGCTGGTAGAGCGATGTACATCACCATCCGGTGTCGGCTGCGCGTAAGTTTGTACGTACGACATTTTTTTCAACCGTTGATGGGGTCCCTCCGCTGATTCCTGAATGTCCCAACTGGATCGGAAAAAATTTGTCAAATTCACAGATAGGCGTCTATCCGCTTCCGGGTCCGTTTCTGTTAACCCAAACTGAAACATATACTGAGTCACTGTGGAAAAACCGAGATATGAACAGTAGGTGTTACAGAGTATGCATAAGTGTGGCACAAGATGAAGAGATGCGGTCTGAGATGACTAGTGATCAGTGACAGCTGTTAGCACTATTCTAGTTAGAAATAGTTAATCATCAGTGAGACATACTGGGGCGTAACTGCCATACAACTGTGAGGAAAGTCTGTGAGGAAGAAAGTCTTGGTAAACCGCAGAGAGCAGAGGGAAGGATGGGGACTTCATGTGAAAAAGTCCTATATCCTCAGGAGAAACTGTCAAAACTGTCAAGAATAAAGTACCTACACCTTGGAGCACTACTAACATAAACAAACTTGAGCCTCTTGTCGAAGTGAGGTGCCATTAGCGAGATCGAACCAACGTCGTTTGCGAACCTCACTCGACAGAAACCCAGCGTACAACGACAGGCTAACTTTACTAGGTAGTGGGTTCGGAAATCACAGCACGTGAGCCACCAGGACCATTTGCGTGTCATGTTCTGCAGGGCCTCCAGACACGTGCAGAACACTAACAAAGAAGGCGCGAAGATTTCACAGCACTGTCTGACTGTAGCAGATTTCATTTAACATCGTAATATCAAGGATTGTGCCCTACCAAAAGCGAAATCACAGTAGCTACGAAAAGAATAGAGAACTCTACTTGGTGGAAGGTAGTTCAACGCGCACCGTAGCACAAGCTCCAGTCATCCTAACTTGGTAAGCTCAACCTGCCGTTTTAGCGACTCTGATTCTTTGCTCACGGGCTGAAGCCAGCTGCTTATGCTATGCAACGTCGAAACCAGTGATCAAACATCCGAAGACATTTGGGATCCTCGGATAGGTGGGTCCAAGTCTCCCAACTGTAAAGATCGTCTAACAGTTGCCTTGTATACCGAGTCCTTTGGTTACAGCGAATCCGTCCCCAACACCACAAATGACGCAGCTGGTAATCGCCAGTCACAGTTTGGTTATAAGCACGTTGACTTCATCTGTTACGGAGTATGCAGCAATATGTGGGTACGTATGTATGCAGTATGTGCGCCGACCAACAAATTAAGGTTCTCCACTTTGAATTTTCCTGAAGTACCGTGAAGATGGAAAACACATACCGAAATATCGGATCACCTCGGGAATTCTGTTTAAGGTGCTTCGTTCAGACACACAACCGTCAATCGAAAAAAGTGACTGCATAGTCCGAGTCCATTAGTCTCCCTTGCCTAGATCCATGGAATGTTCACTGCATGCTAATGATGATGAATGTATACGGGTCAACGGTAGTGACCATGACCTAGAAAAGCATCAATGAAGAAATTGGATTTCGATCACTTTTAGCTCCCTGAATAGCGGGTAGCTGAGTTTCTAACCACATAACCAATAGAATATCTGTACAACTTTCATCGTTTTCGTCAGTGTTTTTAAAGAGAACTGGTGCCAGTTTTCGTCCATAAGAGATAATTCCCGGATGTATCAGGTTCAATCAAACTGGCAGTGATGAAAGATGTCAAATTTAACGACATGGCGACTAGCTGAAAAATCTAAATTCGACACCGATAAAGTCCTAATCAGACGGCTGATTATATATGCTGGAAACAATCAGTTGTAGAAAGAAAAATAAGAGAAGCATGCTTACAAGGACGAAGTGACTCCGAACGAGATGGAATGTTAGGTATCGGTGGTTTCATCGGACTTGGTTCTTCATCTACCTCGGATGAATGATCATCGGTTTCACGGGAAGACTCGAACGAAGTTTCATTCTTCACACTATGAAGAGATTTATGGGACCTCGTGTCGGAAAGCCCGATCAAGGAATCCGTTTCATCTGTTGGTGACGGTGGCTCAGAGCAGGGTGAATTTGACTGCGCAGGGACACTGGGAGTGTCCACGTTAGGTACGCCAGAGGCGAATACAGCACGACTAAGGTCAGGTCCTGTTCCGTCGGGCAGAGACGGTGCGACGACAACCTACAATACATCGAGTGTTTAGTAAAAAGACCGTGGGTGGAATAGCTACAACAATTTGGTCACAGGATTGCAACTGTAGTGCGGTTATCGGATTACTATTGACACTTATAGACGTATAGATCCAAAAAAAGATGGTGCTATTGTATAGCATAAATGGATAACTGTTTCATCTCTTGTGGAATAATATTATTGAAGAAGCAGAATGACAAAAGTTGCATGCACAGTCTATCACCATCACAATATCTCAAGCCACATTCGTCTAGGCTACGAACCGCTAAATAACTCAAAAGAATGAATGGTGGCATACATACTGGTCAAGTACTGGAAAAATTTCTACTTGGTTGGTGGTGACTAAAAAGGTAAGATGCACTGAATAAACCACGGAGGACATGTAGTGCAAGTTACCGGTTAAAAGAGCTGCCTACATGAGCTATGATCTATGTGTTTGTAGGCCGATATTTTACAATAACCATTCTGAGAGTCGCCTGGGAGTTTACTTCACGCGATTCTACTTTGACCATATAATCCAAACAAAATTGAGATAGTGAAGTTGTTAATAAGCGAAATTACCAGTAGCAAGTTTCTTCGTTTGGAGTCAACTGCAGTACCTCAACTGTTCACGTTCGAGCGACCTGACAGCATCTCACCCCTTGCTCTTCCTTCAAGTGGCAGGCGGCGAGGCACCAAAAGCGAATTATAGCTGAGCGATTGGTGTCCTTAGTTGCACAGTTCAAATAGTACAGTTAAAATATGATTCTGTGAAAGAAAACCCACGGCTTCATACGTTCCTATATGTATGGTCACAATCGACGCCGTAAACTACCTCAACAAACTCTTCACATCGTGTTGTTCATGCTACCTAGGTGCTAGAAACATAATCCCCCGCCTTTGGGCCTGAACAATGTCCAATCCTGTTCAGTCCAAGTTTTCAAGCACGAACTAGGTGCATGAGAATGCATGGTCTCGAACTCGGCAAAAAAAATGGAATGAGTGAATGTTGGCGAGATGATATCAGAAGCAAAACTAGGTAGTAGACTTCGAGAAATACACTCATTTGCAAATCAATTTGGTTTTCAGGGGAGACTCCTGGGTAGTAGATTGTAAGAAACGAGGGTGTTTGATGAAGCATAAAGGCACCACTGGTTTCGTGAATCCATCACATCAACTGGTGATCGTAGTCCCCAAGATAGCAAACGGGTTCACAAAAAGAACTAAGGTCTTCGATTAGATACACCTCGTTGTAGTGACACCGTTTACCTTGTGAAAAATTACCCAAAACTGAGGATACAACCCAGTAACCAAATTTCGTCACCCGAAAGGAAAGACGAATGTTTCTACCCTCCAAAAACGTCGTTACAAAAAGAGTGAACTGTTACTTTGCCGCATCGTAGTAAAGATACGAGGTAAGTTGTCTACATCAAATGCATTCTAGTGGGATTGGCCGGAATTTCCCTATCAAAGTGTACACCACGCTACAGTTACTGACTGACGTCGCCTTAGCTTAAGGAGAAACTAAAATGCGAAATCAAAAAGCACTTGTCAAAACGGAAGAGTTAAGATGCAACAAATGGTTAAAAAGCGTGCACATTTGAGTGTACCACTGCAGTTACCACACGGAAACGCAAGCGGTGAATATAACGGACAAGAAACAAGAACACGGACACGCACCCACAAACATGCGCACACGAACACACACAGGCACCTGTCTTAGTCGGTGTCGCTCAATCACTACATGTCGCTGAAAATAACGTCGATACTTTTTCCCATTCGCTTCAATCAGCTCGGAATCATCCTCAATGTTAGTCTTGATTTCTGAATGACAGACAGGTTGATTACCAGAAAATAGACCATCGGTGTCCTTGACAGCCGAACACGAAGTGATACCAGTCGGTGGACGTTGTTGACCTGATGCTTGATCATCACCATTTGTCGACGCCGAGTGCAGACGGAAAAACGCTACGTTCGCTTCTGGTAGAAACGGATTGAGCATCTGTTGAATGCAAAGCATATGGCCATTCGAAAAGATTAGGGGAAGAAAATCCTGATCGACACTATGCTCGTTGCACGAATCCTACTGGACTCTCACGTCAAAGAATCCAGAACAATACTTGGAACCTGTCTGAAGGGGAAACGCATATTCCGTGTGACATAAAAAACGCGTCCGTGTGAAGGTGTGAAGAATCAGTGGTGGGAATATCACAACATTGTTGATGTTCATGCCAGACCGCGGTTGTCCGCAGGGATACAGTTCACTAGCATGGAGATTTCACAGCCACGTAGCTAACTTATTCCTCCTCAAACGTATTCAGCATACGTGGCAATCATTAGTTCTGGGGAGGTAATAGGTACTCCGTCGCATGGAAAGTCATGGTCAATCCTTTCCGGTTAGAGTTCAATTGTTGATTGACATATTCACAAACAGAATCAACAGGCAATGCAACCGAAAGCATCGACTAAGATAAGTTTCATAAACGATTTAGTTAACTACTGAAGAAACTTCAACACATTTGCCCGAAATTTGATCATGACTTACCAACTAACAAACATTAGTAAGTAACGTTGCGAAAGTTTAATTCGTCTATAAATCAGTGACAAAAACACAGGCAACTTTAATCGAAAATTGGAACAGGCACAGGTTTCTACCCCACGCTACTACGACAAGTTCAGCTGCTTCACTCTTAGTATGCAATCGTGCAGTCGCTGAAGTGTAATCGTGTTTCATCAACCTTTGAACTTATTTTCACGGGTTGGTGAGAACAATTCCAGTCTCAGACTGTGGACCCTTATTTCGACAAGTTGAGCCAATGTACAAAAATAAGGCACCCGTGAACTTCCTCCATATGAAATGAATCATTGCACTGATTAAGCAGTGGGCTAGGTAGAGAGAAGTCCACTGTATAACAGCGCAGACCGTATCCAAAGCTTGGTATTGAATGGCTGTTTTTGAAAACCACTCGTATCATCGCAAACTACCGGGACATATAAAAGTTAATGAAAAAATAGCCATCCACATTGGTTTCAAGAAAACACCAACATGGTTGTGAGCGCTTGTGAATGAAGCCCGGAACTACAGCTGGATGTCACAAACACCAAGCGACATCCGAATCCACAACTGAAACCAGTAAACTAATGCTATTCCAGCTGCAGTCGAAACAGGTCTGCATCCTCATTGGAATCTGCGAGAAAATCAGCGCCGAATTCCTGAGTGCACAATAGGTAAAATGGTGTTATTCATAAACGTCGACAATATCATACAGTGGGGAACTAAAGCAACCGGGTGGACTTATGACTATACAGTAAGCACCAGAGGCCTTAGCAATAGCCCAAAACGCATCAGGCGTGCAAGGCAAACAGATAGGTAAGTACAAACTACACACCTCTGGTTTCTCTGTTTTGGTATTGGCACTGTTCAGCCGCATGGCAACCGCTGCAATATTCTCTTGCATATGGTGGTCGTCCAAAGGATTAGGAATACCGGACAATTGCGTTGGGATTACAGAGGTGACGCTCTTCGTGTAGAAAGGCGCCTCGAAAAAAAATAACAAGGAAAAATATGGGAACCCGGGAACAAACTGAACGGATAGTGCAATGCAGTGCAGTGAGAACGCAATGGACAGTGAGTAATCTGGCAAAAACGTGAAAGGTTAGTTGAAAGTTGCAAGGACCTCTCTAACTATGTTAGCGACACTGGAAAACATAAAGTTGATCATAAAAACATTCCACGTGTTCAAACAAACTGGTCCGTAAGACCAAAGTGAAATCGAAAAATCCACCGGTTGTAAAGATGCAAATATAAATCTGCCGGGCATACTACTCATACTCACTCATCGGCAACCTAAAAATTTCAGCCAGTACTCTAGCTTGATATATGTCCCCCATGACACCAATACGCCCTTTGACGCATCAAGTAACGCAAAATTATCTGACAGATCAGTCTCAGGTTATTGAGAAGAACCAAAATTAGTATGCCGAACATTGCAGCCGAATAGCTCCAGTCCTATGGAAGATCATACTCTCAAATGCATTCAGATAACTTAGACAAAGTGGAAACTAGAAATTCCTCACTGCCTTTGAGCAGCTTTGGTGGAAGCTCCTCTGACCCAGCAGCTTAACGGAGTTCAAAAGGAGAAAATGCACACTGGCACCCAGAAACTGAGAGTCGAACTAAAGTGATAGAGCACAGCTCCTTTGAAGTGAGTCCAATGAGAGAAAACTGCACGAAAGTAGAGCACCAACTACATGGATGATGATAATAGTTTTCCCACTAAGTTAGATACTGTGTTATTATGCACTGGAATCCCAAAAACATACTCGATCCACGCACTAACAGAGAGTTTCCTGATTATATTTGGAGAATAAGATTGAATAGTTCCAGTGTATTTCCGACTGTACTAGCCACTTCCATGACTTACACTGCATGGCTCCAATGAGCCACTGTTCTTGCACGTGTCTCGTTCGAACTGACGTCTGACCAAAAGTGTAACTGAATCGTGCTCTGCGGTTGGCAGGACGTGGCCTTTTCCACTGAGGACCAAACTCAAATGTTCCGAAACTCAACGGTGTACGCGATCGGAAAGACCACAAAGTTACTTCTCACGGTCATGCATAGATGCGATGACCTCATTCCCGCTACGATCGATATCCTCAGGTGAAGTTTCTATTTCAAATTCCACAGCAGACTTTAGTGGCTTTATCGTTGTTGCTACTGCTACATGGGGCGCTGATTTACTGGATGCATCGGACAAATTTAATGACAGTGGATATCAGACGAGAGCATGATCTTAACTATCTTGTATATGCCAGTCTCGTGATCGAAAATTAGTGGCTATGGGGCCACATAGCGACGGAGAAGCGCAAACCGTCACAACGAAGATCATTTCTTTTAAACACAGTACTAATAAGAAGCAGAAAACGCTCACGATTCGTTTTAGTTCTTGTGCAGAAAAAAAACTGGAAATTCATGTCTCCGATGAACTGACGCATCTCTAATGTGAGTTGAGGTTTCCAGCTATCGGGCCTGTATATGAACTTGCTATTGAGGGGATGCTGGTAGCACAAGTAGGATGGATGGTCGTTGGTTTGTTCTCCGAGCTGGGCAATCTGACTACAAACGTTTCACACCAATCCAGGTGATATCATTATTGCGTTTTTAGAGACTGGTATGGAGCGTAAAGGTATGCTAATGGTTGTGCACGACGAGGTTAAAACCACTGGAAATCATAAGCAACGTGAACCGAAGCTACCTATCTCATCAACAATCATGACGTTCACTTTGATGCAGCGGCTGCAACTTTCAGTGGTGAACAGGAAAATTTTGTGACCGTTGCGCTAGATTGAGAATAGGAAAAAAACTCGATCAATGAACACCAAATAGCTTGTCGGAAAACAAACCCACAAGGTTCTAATTGCTTTTGATCTTCAGCAACCTAGTAACTTGATGCTGGATTAAACAAATAGTCCCGCGAGGTGAGACTATCCTCAACGAGGGTTCGAAATAATTATTTCGTTATAACGGCATCTCACGGTAGAGATTCTTCCGGAATCGGAGGCACTTGCTTCTACTCCATAAGCTGAAGTTAATCCCAAGTTTCCGAAAGAGTACAATGTACGTGTGTCCGGACCTCGCGACTGACTGGCCAACAGACTTGTTAAACAAGGAACGCAAGTCAATAATATGGGGTTATGGAAACGAAATTCGGTGTCTTTTTTCTTGGTGCCAACAGGGCGATAACGGAGAACAGCAGATACCTGTGGTGTGGGACCCAATGAACTGAGGCTTGATGCGGGGCTTACGGGTGTTCCAGGCAATGGACGATTCGTGGTAGATGGCGTATCATGCGACACAAACAAGCTTCTGTTTTTCCTCGGGTCCGACCGTAGGTCGGGAGGTCTATCGGGTAGCGCGCTGGACCATCGAGACGGATTCTGGGACTTCTTGACTGGAATTTCGAGGGAGTCAGCAGCAACATTTACTGCGTGATGCGTGATTTCCGTCCCATCGGAAACACCGGCACTGAAAACACAAGAACCAAAGATCTGATCAATTACACTTGTCTTTGTAAACTTCTCAAGTATTGGCCGAACAGTGGATGGCACAGCTTGTATGGCTGTTGAAGAATCTACGAAATACCAAAGTGCGGCTTTTATCACCCTCGCTACGGACAAAGCAACCCGAATAGTTGTCGAACGAATTATTTTGGATAACATCAACAGGACTGATATATTTGATTTCCAGTTTGATTCAGGCGCAGGTACATCAATTCTAAATGCCTGTGAAAACTTTGTCTGTTGAGTTTCCACACAAAGGCGATCCGTGACATTGCTCCGGACCTGTTGCGGTACTTCCAGTGCTTCACAGCTGACTCGTTGACCCTCAAATACAATGTGGCAAGCAGTCGCTGGGTCACCATCCGTCCGTTTCAGTAGGATTTCACTTTGAGGTTTTGCCCTTACAATAGAACACGGTTACGTAGCCAGTATGGCTAGACCTTACGATGCTGTTGCCTTCATAATTAGAGAATGTATCAGGTATTTTGACAAAATCTGGGTTACATAGCATGTTTAATCCATTCACAGGCGCAAGGAAACAGCTAGTTTACAGATTTTCGATAATCCCTGGGTGTCATGGTTGATTTGACTTTAAAGTAATTTCAGACCAAACCGCAGTTGCAACCTTTTACAGCAAACAAGTAGTTTGGCTCAATTTCACTTTATTCTCGTTAGGTAGATTTGGCAGATTTGTGTGCAAAATCCAACGGTCAGATGTTCGAGAACTTGGTGTCACAAACTTTTGATTTAGGATGACTATCATGTTTCTTTTGTTGGTTTGGGTGCCATAGGCAGTGGAATCTTGCTTCAGATTTTTTCTTACTAAGTTTTTCCAGGTCCAAGGTTCCATTCAGTTCAGCGTTGCTTCCTAAGACTATTAAGCTTCTGAATTCCGGGTTCGTTGGTCCGTTTAACAAGAGGAAAGCAGAATTGAGTTATCAATTAATGATGGGGAAAGAAACGGTTGCAATTAAAGTTAGATTTGAAATTTCCATACAGGCACATCAACCAGGACACCAGGGATTGCCAAAAATCCGTAGACCAGCTGTTTCTTCGCGTCCGTTAGTAGATTAAACAAACTGCGCAACCCAAAAAGTAGCAAAATACATGAAACAGTCTCTAATTACGAAAGCAACAACACCGTAAAGTCTAGCCAAACTGGCTACGCAACCATGCTCTATTGCAAAAGCGAAAACGCAGTGAAACTCTATTGAAAAGATCGGATAGCGATCCAGCGACTGCTCGCCACGCCTTACTCGAGGGTTGCCCAGTCAGTTTTGAGGGACTGCAATTATTGTAACAGGTCCGGAGTAATTACACCAAACGCCTTCGAGCGTACACTCCCGCCATAATCACACTTTGAATGTGGTCGAAGAGATAAGTAAGGGATAAATAAATAAATAAGACGAAGATACAATACAGAATAGGTTTTAAATGATAGTTGAACGGTGGCAACAATTCAATGAAACCTGTTCTCATCCAACCATACGTACTTTTCATACGGTTACCAGATAATATTTTATCACTCGTTGTACATTCCGTTTTCTTCTACTTCTGAAGGCTGTTAGGAAAGCCATATTATGATATTCCTAAATGAACGGCATGTTGTCTTTTGAAACCTTTCAATATGAACAAAAGGCAAAAAGTAGACAACCTGTTTGAACACAACCGGACTACTTTAGGCTCAGATCAGCATTTATCCACAGTTCCTAAATCTGAGAGGGTGTAGAGGCACCAGTCTTTTGTCGTAAGCTTCGAACTACGCACACTCGTGTAGCAGTTACACGGGACAGCAGCAAGACTTGTCAAGCTCAGCATTCTCCGACTCAGTCAACATTACCCGTGAGCAACGTCAGGCGGGCGCCTATGGCAACAGACCTGGGCCAAAACCGATTAGTTAACCCAGTCGTTACAAGTTGAGATATCCACTTTTTACGATACACAGGTGTCATCTTAATGAAATATACCCCAGACAGCCTCACTAACAAGAGAGTTCACGATATCGTCTCGGGTAAGCTGCTCCCAAGAGCGTACTATGTTCTCAGAGATATTTGTGAAAGGATATTCAATCAGAGAACGTGCACCTGAGCTGCAAAAAACGAGATGAAAATGGTTTCGAGCTGAGTCACAGTTACAGACCTCCTCACAAGCCAGTAACACAAGGGAGGAGAATCAGCTTGTGGACCACATGTTCGCCAGCATGTGGCCAAGTCGTCGTAGTTATCAATATGAAGATTGGTTATCGTGCAAAAAAGACATTATTGTGGTTGTATCGGAAGCATAGATAAGGCAACACTCACCAGTGGCTGCTCACGGAACGCTTCGGAGGCGGTGGGGGTGGTGGCAGCGGGCTTTCTGGGACAGAGTCGTTGGGTGATGTAGAAAAGGGTGTTGATTCCAGAATCGGGGGAAGGATGGCGCTAGCTAGCGATGCCAAGTAAGATGATAGCCCTGGATCGTTGATCAAATGGGAACGACGCCGAGTGGAAGAGCTCCGGGTAGCTGTAGGATCGGGCTGAGTGTCATGTGGATGGGGTGGCTTTTGTGGAGGAGCGTGTGACTGATCACTTTCACTCAGAGCGTCCACTTGTGACCAAAGTCTAGCTAGTAGAGCACGGTCGCTATCCGTCAGCATATCGCAAGAGGCAACTTTTTCATCAATTTTGACCGGAGAAGCAGTGCTGGTTGGTTGACTACAGTCCACCTCCCTGAAAGTCGTGGGAAAACGTAGGCTTAAGGTAGCCAATTTGTTTAGTTGAAAGGAACGGACTCTCACATTGCTACACGGATTCAAAGATTCCTGAAATTCTAACCAAACATCGAAGGGTGAAATATCACGGTCCTGCATGCCGCTCCACCTTGCAGTGCAGTAAGACGGTTTTAGAAGATAAGAGGATCTGGTGGCCTCACCAAAATCAAGCATCACTAAAAACTAATTCGTAAAACTCAGGGTTAATTCCAAGAAGGCGATTTGAAGGTTCGTTTGTCCCACTCCCCATGCACCAACATCTAGAAAAGAATACCACCGGAACAGGAAAATCCAATTTACATTCGGGAAGTCTTTTGCTCTTTATGGGAATCCAGATTTTATCCCTTTATAACCCTGTAATATTTGAGTTCCGTTCACAACATACGTAAGACATTTTTTCTTTGTGGAGTTCTGAATTTCATCGAATGGTAACTTCAGTCCTCGGATTCAGTATCTACTGAAAAGTAAAATGTCATCAAATGAGTCATTCTTGCATCGAACAAAACTATATTATAGCATCAACCCTCCTAGGAAATGATGAAATATGGTGTTCGGAACAAGTTTCGGTCCACTGTTCATTAAAGTCCCAATAATATCTCACAAAATTCATGAAAATCCGACTGCATACCAGGTAGATGGAAAATAAACATAGCAGGTCTCTTTTGAGGGGTATATTTGCTCGCTGTTCGCTATATTGGTATTTGTAGGCTACGTGGTTAGCAAAGCGTATGAAGTGAAACAAAATTTAGCACACACATAAACCCTATACGGCTATCACCAGTTGGATGCCATTGTAAGGGGGTTCTAGTGTAGGAAAACGCTACTTTATCAAGCTAATATATCCCAGCGTTTCCCATAAAACGCTTAAGTATAAACCTAAAGAATGTCCCATATAGAGCTTCGGAGAAGCTGCAACGTTCAGGATTTGTGCCACAGGTTGGACACTGATTCTAGCCTGGCGATTCTCTGTCGGGCCGCCTCATAAGTTTTGTTCAGCCACTCCCCAACCTTAGATATGAGCTGCCGAGATGCCTTGACTGGAGTCGAACCACGGACATTCCGGTTAATTTCAAGCTTTAACAGCTGGGTTATCTCGAGCCCCGTGCCTAAGTGAAGGCTAATCAAACTGCTGATCAGCGGCTTGTACCCGAAGGGTTAAATGCGGGGAGATCGCAGATGTGAACCTTCTCGGAGCTTCAACAGACGCACGCTGCTGATGCTCAGTAATGAAACCGCCGTACAAGGCCTCTCGGCTTTGCGGACATCGACTGACTTCACTTGTGGGATAAAATCTCGATTGGTACTCCAAAATCATAAAAGGTATGGCCCTATCAGGGCAAAACGCAGCAGAAATAAGCCCGCGTCTATGTAACATGTAAATTTCTTCTGCATCCGCAGTATGCTGTTGATCTTGTCGTATATTGATCAAAGGCCCACCGTCGAGTCCGTCTTACTTTGAGTCCTCCGGGTAAGAACAGCCTCTGACTTTACCAAGGTGGTAGGCAACTTGCAGAGATATGAGTACGTCAAACACTTCCGTACTGAGCTGGCCTTGAGGTTCGGCCAATACAGACAGAGCGATGGCGCGCTGCAGCGATCAAGCTACGGTAAAGCCAGACAGACTGGACAGTATGCAATTTTTCAAAGTCTTGTATTTCTCGTAATACGATGACAGGTGGCAGTGTACGGTCGTCAGTCCCTCTTCAAACTGAACAACATATCTTAGAGTTGAAATGACTGTACGAAATTTCGCGGTTGTGGTATCGTTGGATAAGTGGTAACTTGTCGAACAACCGAATTACCTACTATTTCCGTGGACATTACTTGTTCTATTGCTAATTTCGTCACTGCATCTGGGGACATCGGATCACGATTTTAAGCCTATTCCCCACGCAGAAACACCTAACTGATTCTCTGAGAAAAAATAAATCGTTCAGCTGTAGCACCCTTTTGGGGCTTAACTGCCACGCTACTAGAGAGTACAAGGGCTGGGAGGCTGCCAGGTTGCCCAAGCCTAGACGGGGGAAGTCGAGAGACAAAGATCGGGTTCGAGCCACGGAACCTCCGGTCGGTTAATTCGCGCTCTAACCACTTGAGCCATCTCCGAAGCTACATTCGTTTCACTTTAATCCCACTAAATGCAAACGACCTAAGAGTCACCACAAGCATACCATTTTAAACATCTTGTGATGAATAAGCACACAAAATGAACTCTAGTGCTAATATGATTTCTAATTAACATTGCTCACAGGATGGGTTATTTACATGCATGAAAATTGTTACCGTCCAGCGTGAGAACAGATGCTCGGAGAAGTTCATTCCAAACCACTTTTGTCACTATAGTCTAAAGGTTTCTTCTGTACCACCTTATGGTGAACCTGTTTTGAATGCCTTAAGGACAAAGAACTGGTCCACAACCTATACGTAATTGACCCTTAGGCCTGCGAGGGCTCCGCAGACCAAATGAGTCTACCGACAGAGTAGCCAGAGCACGAATTTACTGACCGGAAGGTGCGTGGTTCGAACCTGATCCCTATATCCCGGCTTTCCCTGTTTAAGCTTGGGCAACCCAGCAGTATTCCAGCCCTCAAGCTTCTGGTGGCATACAAATGAGTCTACCGACAGAGTAGCCAGAGCACGAATTTACTGACCGGAAGGTGCGTGGTTCGAACCTGATCCCTATATCCCGGCTTTCCCTGTTTAAGCTTGGGCAACCCAGCAGTATTCCAGCCCTCAAGCTTCCTTCTGGTGGCATAGTCCCGAAAGAGTGCTACAGCTGAGTGATTTTTTGTGCATCCATTCACACTGAGATGGGGGCGGGTATTCCTGAAACACCATAAGCAAACCGTCTGACCGCAGACATTGCTCACAGCTGAAAGAGTAGTGATCTTTTAACTCAGCAGGATATTTGATTTATGAGAGCCAATAAGGGAAATGTCCAGACAACCCTGACCAAAAACCAGAACAAAACAAACGACTATTCAGGTTATTGACCACTAGGAAAGCTATCTATTAAAGAATAACAGCCGTCATGAAAATCACTTGTCTATACAAGTGCTTCACAGCCCGCCAAGACACATTCAAAACCTCCTTTTGATTCATGAAGAGTACACAACCATTGCATCTGTTTCCAACCACAGTCGGTGAGCAAACGTTACGCTTTCAAGAGATTCACATGTCACTTTTACAACTGCAAAGTACTGAAAAACAAGCAGTTGGGCGGCACTATGAAAGTTCTGAAAGACAACCTTCACCTCATGTGATAGAATGAGGGATCCATCCATAGAATGATCGAAAGCCTAGGGTTTTATCAGCTTGTCGTGATCATGTGTGTCCCGTTCGCCTGTCAACTACCGTAGTGTGTATGAGCTGTTTGGGGCCAAGGTCACAACAACGTCTGCACATATTTTTCCTTAATACGCATTGTGAGGTTGAACAAACACATTCATGTGACCAAACGAGATTTTTAAAAAGGTTGCTTTTATTCGTTTAATACATACGGTGGTAATCGAGACATGACCTTTGTAGTCTTACGTTGCATCAATATTGAATGGAGACTATCGGCTACAGGCTTGAATACATCAGCCGGCAGAACACTGATACCGGTAGACCACGTGATGATATACATGAACTGCTGCTGCTATGTTGTACATTCAACATGCTCTTTCCGTTCAGTGAGAAGCGGTACAGATAGGAATCAGTGGGATTGCCCTAAGGATTACCCGAAGAAAGCATCAACAACAGTCAATAATAAGTGATGTGACTGCTACGTAGGTGACACGTCTAACACTGAGTAAGCTGAACATGAATACAACACTTAATGCATCAACCACAGTTCAGTTTACGACAGAGAAAGAAAATAATGGTATTTTGATCTTCTCAGATGTGATGCTCAAGCGATGTTTATTAACATGGAAGATAACATAGACTATGTGCTGCTAACAGAGAGAAAAGAATCAGTCCTCAAAAGATGAGAGTCCACTGGAAAGTAGCTACTTGCCGAGTGTGGAATGTCACGCAAGAGAAGGTCAACACAAAACATCCGTACTGACTGCCGACAGGAAGCTGCCTTTGCTAAGACTATTCCCTTTACTGGCTATTAGTCGGAAGATATTCTATCCAGAAGACTGATCCACCTGGTGACACAGCCTTACAATGCCGAAACATTCAAGGATAAGCTGCCTATGCTGACCGATCCAATGATTGAGTATTCTCCTACTTCCGTGAACTGGAGTTCCTGGGTCAAACGTAAAGACAATTATCCAAACGCATCGTCAGCTATAAAGCCCCGGGCGTACGAACGTCAGCTCCATATTGGCCCACTTCTTGGGAATTGGATATCAGGTTGATCCTGGAAGAGCTATCAGTCATGAACCCAATACCACTTACCTAACTAAAGGATAGAAGCAAAGCTTGCTGGAGACTTCACACATCTGCACACCTACAGTGAGTATTCAGAAAATTGCAGACGTGGTCGTTACCTTGACCCCAAACAGTTCATACACACAACGCTGATAAAGCAGCAGTTGACAGGCGAACGGGATTAATGCATCGAACGTACATGACCACGAGGCTCTCGGTCCATCTGTAAATGGTTTCTGCATTCCATTATTTTGTGTGCTTGTAGTCTGGAATTTTATAGTGTCGTCAAACCACTCGCCTTTCAACGCCTAATGAGCTAGTCAGAAACGTTCGCTAAGAAAACGTGCGCTTCATAAATGAGAGTGCTGCTCATGGAACAAGTAAGTAAAAGCAACGACAAGTGATTCAAGCAGCCCCTTAGAGACTCTGGATTTAGTCTGTCACGTCTTGTAAAAGGTAAATGATCAAGTGTCTAGCGAGCGGTTTCTCCCATTGCGTTTACGCGCCGAATTAGGTCAGAACGTAAGCGACTTTGTGATTGTATCATAGAATGAAGTTGTGCTCAGGTCAACCTGAGTGGGCACTGTTTCCGGGTGTTAGTATTTTCAACAGGTTTCAATGTTGTGATATATATATATATATATATATATATATATATATATATGTGAA